CCAGTGCCCTGAAAGCAGGTTGCCAAGTAGCCCCAGCTGAGGAGGGACTGGGCCCTGAATGGATAACCAGAGCTCAGTAGATGCCCAGCCTCTAGATTTCTCAAGAGCTCTGGACACTACTGGAATCTGAACGAATGCCCTCCCTCAAAGCAGCCGTGACTAGCCAGCCCTCCAGTCCTTCTGGTTTCAATAAAGCCCAATCTGGGGCCTGAAAGTCTGGAAGGAAACTCAGTGTCAGGGAGGCTGCTAGGCAGGCCCCAGAACCTCCTTTTGACCTTGGTGGTCCTTGACTTTGCTGCTACCACTAAGCTAGGTCCCTGCATGAAAGTGAAGGACCAAGCACTCAGAGAGAACCCTTTTGTCATTCCTCTTAGCACAGCTGAGACCAGCTGGCATTTTCACAAAGGGCTTTACTAAGTACTAAGGGAGAACAAAGGAGAAATAATTACAGAAATCATGAAAAACCCAGGCCCAGCTGCCAAGTTCCCAAAGTACAGGTTTCCAATGCTTTGGTGATGACATGCCTCCCCAAAGGCCTGGGACAAGGCTGCAGGCACCTCGCCTGGCTTCCCTTGTTCGCAGCCGTTTTTGCGGGCGCCATCTTGTTTCCTGCCCCTGGGAACCACTTGGTCACCCATGGGCTCTGCTCTTGTCTTACTTCCAACTCACCCCACCCCAGGCCCCCCACTGGGTTCTGGTCTTTGGCCTGAGGCATGAGCCTCGTCCCTTGGGGGCTGGCAGGGCTGTGGTGACCAACCCAGGGTGTGATTACACAGCAATGGGAGGTTGTTCTCCCACACTTACCCCACCGGAGAGGCCCACCCAGGCTGTCTAGGAGGGCTGCCTCTGCAGGCTGGAGGACAACTGACAATTGGGTAAGGAATGATCAGACTTGGGACGTTTTCCCTGTGGGGGGAGAAGAGAGTGCTCTGAGGATTGACCCAACTCAACAAACATCAATAAAGCCCCTGCTGTGTGCCAGGCTCTGTACAATGTGCTGGGGGGTCCAAGGGTTAACAAGTGTCTGCCCTCTCAGACCTTACAGTCTGAGGGATGGAAGACAAACAGCTGGGCAATGATGACACTGAGGGCCAGGTGCCACGATGGAGAGCAATTCAAGTTCCCTGGAAAGCCAGGGAGAAAGGCATCTCACCCAGGGGTGGTAGCCAAGGGGAGCACCAGAGCTTGCCTGGAGGAAGTGCGTGGAGAGAAGGAGAGGGATTTAGGGTTGAGGCTGGGGTGGGGTGGGGTGGGGCCCCAGTAAATCCCAGTCCAGGAGGGAAGAGGTAAAGGCAGAGGAGGCCAACTAAACAGCTTCTTCCTGGTGACATTGGCCTGCTGGCAACTCTAGCATGTCTATCCTATAAAATGGAAAAACGCTCAGCCCAAGCTGCCCCCTGCTCCTCTCCATGTCAGCCGGGGGGGAACCTGATATGCTACTTCTCACCCACTTCTGGCCTTGGCCAGATCTGGGGCTCAGGGGCATTGTCAGAGGGCAGGTACTTGTCCAGGGCCACCTGAGACACTGCCTTGGTGGGAAAAGGCCATAGTTAGCAAATAGTTCAGAGGGTTAAGACAATGAAGACAAGACATTTCCCAAAATGGGAAAATGAGTCAGGAAGCTGGAAGTCAAGAGATTGGGATGGGTTGGGGCAGATGTTTCAGGCTAAGACCATGACTAATGTGAGGTGTGGGAAGTACGCTGTGTTTGGGGGCAGCTTTCGGAGGCAGACACTGGCCTGGCAGCCTGGCATGCAGGCCTAGACCCCGGGCTGCTCAAGGTGACTATGCTCAGGTATCATGGCCCAAACAGTCTATCTACAGCGTAGTCCCTTGTGTTTGCCCAACCCGTGTGACAGGATCAGCTGCAGGGCTGGGATGAAGGCTTCTCCTCCCACACATCAACCCTTCAGAGTTTGTCAAGCACCCACTGTACTCAGGCAAAAGGAAGACCCAGAAAAGATTTAAGACATCAGCCCTACCTTCAAAGTATTTGCATTCTGATTGGCAGAGAGAGCTTTGCTCACTGGAGAGAGCTCTGGAGAAAGACCTACGCTGACCCTCATCCCCATCCCTTAGTAGCTAAATGACTATGGGTGAGTTGAACTCCCTAAGCCTGCATTTTCCCATCTTCAAAATGGGAGCAATTAAAACCTACTGCAGAGGGTTCTTGGGAGAATTCACTGAGTTGACATGTTTAAAGAACCAGGCATGTGGCTTGGCACAAAATTAGTGCTCAGTAAGTATTAGTTCTCTCTCTAAAACAACAACAAATGGTTGAGATGGATGATAAACAGTTAAATGTTGAGTCATGAACTCTGACTCTGCCAGTGGGTCTACTCAGAAGGCCTTGATGACAGTTGGGGACTAATTGCCGGGATGGTGATGGTGAGAATCTGTGAGTGTGTGTGGGTGCACATGCATGCACAAGCATGCACAGGCATGTGCAAATTCCTCCATCTTTTTGCTCCTCTGCAACCGGCAGAAGCATAAGATTCTTTATTTTCTGTCTTATGTCTGTGATAGTAAAGACTCTGCTCTCTAACTGTAGTGTTTTATATCTTTTAATACGAATCATACGTTGCATTAGAAATCATGCATAACAGCTACCATTTCCTGTACTCTAGATGCTTCGTCATTCCTCACCTCTGAGGTCCCACTTTAAATGGAGGAATCTGAGGTTCTGACAAGTAAAGGAAGGTATTTGAGGTAACATAGCTGGAAAGGACTAGAGTCATGATTCAGGGGTGCAGAGCCGCCAGCCCACCTGCCCTGGACTGGATGGGAGCAAAAATAAACTTCTATCTAACCTGTGGAAATTTTGAAGTCTTATTGGTTCCTGCCGCCTCACTAATTCATCTCACATCCCATGAAGCCAGGTTTAGAAGGGTATGATCCCCAGTTTAGTGACAAAAAGACATTGAGCTCACCTGTAGAAAGAGAGCTGAAGCATCCCCAGCCATCTGTACCCCCACCCATGAACCTAAACTTCAAGTGAACCACCATACCACATCCCCAGTACCCAGGGCAGTGCCTAGAGCAGAGTAGGGCTGAAGCAATATGTGTCAAATGAAAAACTGAATGAATGCATACAAATACACACTATACACACCCCTATATGAACAGCTTTTTATAGGCAAATATGCCGAAAGTGTAAGTGCTCAAAACATTCAATTACAGACAGCATACTTTATACAGATACTTAAGTACACACCTGTACCCACATACACAAATCCAAATCCAAAGTAAAGACACACATAAGCACATGTCTATGTATACACAGATGTTATGGGCAAACATACATGATCCAGATATGTACAACACACATCTACTCACCCACACACACAGGCACAGCAATGCCCAGACACCCTCCACCATGACCCTGGGTCCAGGAAGGAGTCTGTGTGCCCCATGAGCCCTAGCATGTTGGAGCTCATCAGAGAGTTCTTTGCAGCCCCCTGACCGATGACTGGCCCCTAACTCCTGGCCTCGGGGCTTGGGGCTGGCCAGGCAGAGAGGCAGTGTCTCTGGTAGCCCCACGTGGGTGGGCAGGCAGGCAACGGATGCAAAGGTCACTGGGGTGAGAGCTGGGGCTGCCCTGGCCTCTCTGCTCCTGGCTGGAATGTGAGCTGCAGGGGCTGCCCCCCAGGCCTCCCTCCTCTTGCATAGCCACCCAACAGCCACAGGCCCAGGCCAACCTCTGATCCCAAATCCTACCAGATTCTTGCAGCCAGAGAACTGTGCTTGGAGGGTGGTGGTGATAAATGCTCAGGGACCATAGTTGGGCACATAAAGAAGCCAGTTCAGATATTCACACACACAAAGACATAGGCAGGAATACAAATTTACAACCCCACTGAAGTGGGATACATTTCCAAACATACCTAGAAATACAGTGGACACATGCACACACCTAATACCAAAGCATACAGCGATACCAGAGACCAGACCCACACATTAGCCACATTCATACATACGGCAGATGCACACAGACACTCCAGATCACACAAAAACTCATAGCGCATATGGATCTTCACAGTCACACATAAATTCTCACACACATGCACACACAGGCACACACAGACCCCAGTCGGCAGACCCCTGCCAAGTTAGCATTTGCTCCGGTCACCAGGTCACTCTCCAGCCCCCGTGCGGCAGCCTCACAAGGAGGGCCTGGGAAAACTGCTTCCGGCAAGAGGAAATAGTTCTGGACACAACCAGGTGCCCACAGCTGGGCTGCTTTGCTGTCTGTCTGATTAGGAGGACAGTGCATGGGTGAAGAGACAGTTCCGGAGTCACATGGCTTGGGTTTTGTATCTGTCAGTTACACACACAGACACACACAATTTTTCAAGACTATATTATTTATGGAATATGTATAGGCAGGGGCACTCTGGGAACCTCAGTTTCTTCATCTTTCAAATGGGATTAATAATCCTTTCACCCCTGAGGATTGTGGGGATGGCATGGGTGCACCACAAAAGGCCAGGAGCTGCAGGAAGCAAGTGAACAGCCTCATGGCAGGCATCTTCTCAGACGTCCCAAAACATGGGATTCCAAAGGAAAATCACCATGCTCAACCCCCTAGGAGGAACCCCTGGCACAGGAGGTCTCTATCTTCCTAGGGGTCTGGGGCTGCAGTTTCTGAAGAGCCCGCGAAAAGTCCTAATAAACCTTGTTCGCGGACGTTGGGCTCCATACCTGGATGCCCCCACCCAGGGAAAGCGGGAGCAGAGCTGTGGGCCACTGTCCGCTGGCTGCCGGCACTGGGTACCGCCCGGGTCGGCCGGGGCGCGAGCAGCCCCGGAGGGAGCTGCGGGCTGGGCTCCGCGGGGCGCGAGGGTCCGCGTCGGGAGCGCCCCTTCCCCGCGGCGCGGCCCGAGCGCGCTCACCCCTGGCCGGCTAGCGCGGCGCGCGGCCGCTCCCGGGACGCGGGTCCGGAGAGCCTCGTCGGCGGTGGGCGGGGCGGGCCCGCAGCCCCTCCCCGTTCACGGCCCCTGAAACCCAGTCGCCGGCGAGCTTGAGTCCCAGAAGGGAGCTGCTGTCTGAGGAGGGAGCTGCCTCTTCACTGGCCTGCCACGAGAGGACCGGAGGTCGCGCCGGGCGCCCGAGGTACCCTACCCAGGGACCCGCCTGCCCCACACCGCCCCGCCCCGCCGGCCGCTCGGCATCAGGTTTCCTAGCCGCAGCCGTACCTGCCAGCTCCAGACTCCCCAAGGCTCCCAGAGGATGCTTGGACCACCGGTGGGGACCTCAGGGCGGCAGTGAGTGGGACATCCAGCCCCCCACTCAGCTCCTGTCCTCCTGTGCCAGGAGTTCCCCCTAAGGGGGTGAGCATGGTGATTTTCCTTTGGAATCCCCTGCCTTGGGACATCTGAGAAGATGCTTGCCATGAGGCTGTTCACTTGCTTCCTGCAGCTCCTGGCTGGGCTAGCGCTGCCTGCTGTCCCCCACAAGGTAAGGCCTACCCCTACTCCCAGCCTGGCTCCTCTGATCTTCCCACCCCCTGCACTGGAAGCAGGGAGTCTGAAATCACCAACCCGCTCAGGGGAGTGGCTCCCCCAAGGATGTCCACACACTTCCCAGGAGGCAGCCTGGACCATGTTGTCTGGGAGGAGACCTCAAGCTGGGCTGTCCCAGACTCCAGCTCGGGGGTCTGTCTTTGCGGGAGCAGGGAAGCCACAGGGAAGGGAGGGAGGCTTCCTGTCTGGCCCCTGGAGCCCTGGTGGCTTTGCTAAAAGCATCTCTCCACTAATCCCAGGCTGGTCCCTGGCCTTGTGGTCAGGGTAGAGGCCCCTTGACCAGGCAGGCACCCCCAGGACCTCTGACCTGGCCTGGTGGAGGGGAAGCCAGCTGAAGAGACCATTGGTGGGGAGGCTGGGCCCTGTCCCCACCAGAGCTCTGGTGAGCCCAGGGCTGCTGGGTTACTTGGGGGTAAGGCACGAGGTCCTTCTGTGCCATCTTCCCTCTGTGGGCAGCCGAAGTTCCTGAGTGCAGGGCCTGGGGAAGTGAACAGGGCCCTTTTCCCAGGAACTGGGTGAGTCTGGCAGGGAGCCAGCTTAGGCAGTGAAATCATGACAAAGCCAATGAGCTCTCTTCCCATTGCACTGTCCACTAGCCCGGGAGTCCCCGGCCCCAGCCCAGGAGTGGGTGGGCTAGGCAGTCTGCAGGGATGGAAGAGCCCCAGCACTGGCCACCCGCCCGCCTGCTGCAGGGCTGGCCAGAGGTGTAACGTTACCAGCAGCACCAGCTCATGGCGCCACCCGCTCCAGCCCCTCAGCTCTCACCAGCTGATCATCTCCCCCTGGGCCCTGGCACCCAGCCAAGGCGGGCTGCTCAGGGCCCAGCAGCCTGGCCTGGGGGCTGGGTAGAAGGGAAATCCCAAAGGATTGCAAGATCTTTGGGACACAGAAGACAAAGGGTCTCCAGAAGCCTCCAGCCTCCCACCCTTTCCAAATGAGGAAACTGAGGCCAGAGAGAAGGTGGGACCCAGGGTCCAGTGAGTTTTTAGTTGCACCTGGAAAGAAGCAGCTCTGAGACAGGGCAGAGAGTGTGCACAATGGGTGGGAAAGAGCTCAGAAGGGCCTCTACGCTCTTGCCAACACACTTGGCCCTAGAGCGCAGAGGCCAAAGGTGGTCCCTTCATCTCTGCACCTTTCTATCTGCAGCAGTGGGCCCTGTCTGCTGGGAATGGCTCATCAGAGATGGAAGGTAAGCTGTCTGGGCTGGGGGTGCACAAGCTCACCAAGCGCTTTCCTCCCAAGCCTCTGCAGAGGATGAGGCATGCAGGGATTGGCATGAAGGGTGGGAACAGACTGATATTGAGTGGGGGAGAGTCTGCAAGGTGGCTGACATCCTGGCTGATGAAGCTGGCAGGGCCCAAGAGATCCCCTCATTGTGACCCAGAGGCTTAGAGAGATGTATTCCTGGTTCAGAGTCACCAAACACACAGAGTAGGGCTGGGGCCAGTAGACCCAGGGTTTGTCTGGTTGGCTTAATGCCCCTTCCCAGCATGATGTAAGGGGGCAGATGGGGCTTGGAGGGCAGTGTGGCCAGTGAGTGCCAGGAGCCAGACTGGGGGTCTGGGAGCTAGATGTAGTGGGCAAGCAGTCAAGGGGATCTGGAAAGGGTGTGGGGAGCATCCCAGCAGCCCAGCCCTGGTGGAGCTGCAGGGATGTGACCAGGCCTTTCTATTGATTACAAACAGACAGAACATGAGTTGTGCCCTCTCTGGCCCCTCCACTCCCCATTGCGGGTTGCATCAAGAGGCAATCTTCAAAGGGCAAGTCGTTTGCCAAAGAGACATATGTGCGAAGTTGGGAGGCCCATGCCAGGCCCCCAGCTTTGCTCCTCCCTCCCTGTCTCTTCAAGAGGCCACACACCACTCCTGAGGCTTCCTGCTGTGCTGTGGGAGAGGGAGTGTGTAGGGATGCACGCATGCACATGCACACACACACACACACACACGTGTGTGTGATAGCCTGTGCAAGCTGGGAACACCCTCCTTCTGCTGGCCTGCCTGCCTGGTAGCCAGCCTGCCCTGGGCCTGGCATGCTCCCGCAGCTCAGTTCCAGGCTCCCTGGGCACATAGAGGTTGGGGAGGTAGCAGCCCTTAACTTCATTGATACTTCCCCTCCCCGTGCTGTGCCCTCTGGAACTGGCACAATATTATGCTCTCTGGGATTTGGGGAGGGACTCATCACCCATCTCTACCCCATGACCTTTTTGATGCTTTTAGTGTATGTCAGGCAACAGCTACCAAAGAAGTTTGGGTCTCACTTTCCTCATCTGTAAAATGGGAGCATTAGACACATGATCTAAGGTTCTGATTCTAAAATTGTAGGGTTCTCTGACTTCAGAGAGGAGACATAGGAGTATATATATCTCCCGCGGGATGAGGGTGAGGAGGCTTGCAAGTGTTAATTTATTAGAGCAACTCATCTGTCATCCTAATTAATCAGAGAGCCTATATTGTGGCCAAGAGAAGCACCATGAGCTTTGGACTCCAGTTATCAAAATCTGAAAATGCCATCCCCTCCCACTGACACCAGACCAGAAACAGTATGGTCTGTACTTTGCAGCTGTAGACATCGATTTTTACTATTACTACTCATGGTAATAGTATTGGGCACTTACTATAATTCGGTGCTGACCACAGGTTGTGTACCATGAAGGCATTTGTGTTCTTTTATTTGAAGAACCTGAAGCTCAGAGAGGCTGTTGGGGTCACCTAAAAACTCAGACACTCTTCAGCGTATGTGGCAGAACCAGAGTGCATGGCACTGGGCCTCCCCACAGACCATGGCAAGCAGACAGGAGCAGGGTGTCCCTTGCAGCAGACGGTCTGTGTGCCCTGCCAGTGACCATGGGAAGGACACCTGCTGGGCTCGGGCTGGTGGCTAGTGGCTCTACCCAGCCTTGTGGCCCCTCCCCAGTGGCTTCCCCAGGAGCGTGCTCTCAGGATTAAACACTGCCCTTCTTGCATCTGCTCAGTCCTGGGTGGCAGGCAGCTAGGGTCCGATGGGAGGCTCACCCACAGGGCTGGAGAGATCGCTGAGAGCTCACTCTTGGCCCCAGGAGCAACTGTTGTGGAGCCACCCAGCCCTGGCCAGGTGCCTGACTGGGCTGCAGCCTCTGTTCCTCTCACCCCCACCCCTGCCTCTGAAGCAGGTCTGGCGCCAACGGAAGTGCTCTCAGGAGCAGCTGAGCAGAGCTCTTTCCTGAGGGGCTCAGCCCACATCTGGGAGTGGTCACCACACTCCCTCAGCTGGCCCCTCACCCAGCCCACTTTGTTTCTGCCACACACCCAGATAGGGGCCTCCAGGGATGAACTGCCCTCTTTCTTGGTGGCTGCCAGGTAGATCAGGCCCAGCCCATCTCCTTCCCAGCCCTCCCCAGCACAGTCTGGCCATGCGGCTGGGAAAGGGGCAGGCCTTAGGGTCCTGCAGCCTGGGTCCTGGTGCCAAAGCCTGCATGATGGGGTGTTGGGACAAGGAAAGGAAATCGCTTCTTCTGCTGCCAAGACCCAGCCAGCTCTGCTTAACCTGGCCATGGTCTGACAGCCCGGACGGGTGGGAGCCTGTTTGTGGAATGGTAGGGTGCTGGGGTGTCCCTTCTCTGCTGCTGGCCCCCTCCCTGGTGGCTGGGCCCAGGGCAGGAACCTGAGCTTTCTATGGTGCTTTGGCAGCTGGCTTTTCCTCTGTTGTTATTTATTTTTTCCAAGGTGGAGATTAAATGTTCAGAGTTGCACAGTGCTCATGGAGCTTTTAGACTAAACACCCACTCATGGAGCTGCTATAGGGAGGTGCTCCTCTGACCTCACACTGCAAAGGCTGCCTTCCCCGAGGCCTTGGGGCTGTCTATGGGAAGAAGACCTTGTTTCCCAGTTGGGTCCAGGGAAAGTATCCCAGTGGCCTGGAGAGGCTGGATCAGGGGGTGTCTGGTCCCCCTCCCATCCCTGGGCCCAGCCCTAGTGTCCCCTAAGCAGACAGGGCAGAATGGAGCAGCAGACACCCAGATAAGCCCAGTTTATTGCCTCTGTGGTCGCCCAGCCAGCTCCACGTGGACACACCACCTCTTGGGTATTTTCCACCAGCTTGCAGCCTTTCATGAGGGCCTCTGCTAGGGCTGAAGTTTATTTTTCCTCTGAGATTACCCTGAGATTCATGTCCTCGTAGGCTCAGTGGAATGGACTTCAGCCCCTCTGTCTCATAGGAAGGGCCAAGGAGGGAAGTGAGGGGCTGCTAGGAGAGGCCACTGCTCTAGGGCAGAGGCTGCAGGATCCCCAGGTGATCCTGCTTCCCTGTCCTCACACACGAGCCAAGGACCACCATCAGGCGTAGGGCAGGATGACCCAGGGCTGGGGATGTTTCTCTGCCCAAGGTCTGAAAGCTGGTCTGGGTTGCATGTACAGAATCACAGATAGTCTGTCAAGGCAGGGAGAGACCATAGCGACCATCTATTCCCAACCTTTACTCAGCTGAGGAATCTCATAAACTCAGAAAGGTTAAATGACCTCCCCAAGGTCACACTGTCCATGTAGGCCAGGACTAGAAGCCAGGTCTCCTAGCTCTGGCTGCTTACTTTCTATGATCCTGTGTTTGGGCTCAGGTCATAGGCCCTCCTTAGAGGAGCAATATCTTTTAAGAGAGTTCAGATCAGCCCCCAGAAGATCCTGGTCGTGACCACCAGGACATTGTGGGGGTCAGGGATGTCCCTTATAATCCTCACTGAGCTATCAGCTAATCAATTAGTAACTACTTAGCCTGTGTTTACTGGGTACTTAGATCCCTGTCCTCACAGAGCCTCGACTTGGCTGTAAAGGAGATAAGAGCCACCAGTAACCAAGATAAGGCAAGCCTTTGGGGCTAAGTTATGCTCAAAGGAGGAATATCTTGTTCATACTGGAGAAGTTGGAGAAGGCCTCTGAGAGGAGGTGGGGTGATGAGCTTTACTTGGTTAGAAACAAGAAGGGGACAAGGAGCAGAGCCCACAGGTAGGAGTTATGGTGATGCAGCCTGGGCTCGGTGTGAGGACTGGTCCCACTAAAATGGGGAGTGGGGAATGGGGCACGTTGCTGGCTGCAGTCTTGGCTGCCAGGCAGAGGAGCTGATCCAGAGTTGGGCAGGAAATAAGGACTAAGGGGAAGGCTAACCCGCCCTGTGGGACTCGGCAAGCCCTTACAGAACTGGCAGAACTATTTTCTGCAAATTCCCCAAGACCAAGGAAACACCAGGTCAGGCCTGAGAAAGACCCAGGGGGCCTGGGGAGCTGCCAGGGCATGCTCCTCAAAGCTCCAAGACACCGAGGCAGACTGCATGCCTGAGTTGAGAGCAGAGCAGAGAGCTCGGGACACAGAAAAATGTTGTTCCACTGGGATTTCCATCCAGCAGATGAGCTAAGGGTCCAGCAGTCCTCCCAGAGGGATCACTCAGGAGTTCAGAGCAGAGAGAGCTCACATAGGATGGGGGCTTCCTGGAGGAGGAGTGTGGGCTGAGTCTGGAAGGCCCTGCAGGGCCTGGGGAGCCAGGACTGGGACTTCGAGGAGCAAGCCACGCCTGGCCTGATCCTGCTGTCTGTGCCTCCTCATAGTGGTGCCCTTCCAGGAAGTGTGGGGCCGCAGCTATTGCCGGGCACTGGAGAGGCTGGTGGACGTTGTGTCCGAGTACCCCAGCGAGGTGGAGCACATATTCAGCCCGTCCTGCGTCTCCCTGCTGCGCTGCACCGGCTGCTGTGGTGATGAGAACCTGCACTGTGTGCCCATAGAGACGGTCAATGTCACCATGCAGGTAGGGAGGGTCTCCTTCTCATGTCCTGACCTGCCCCATCGTCCGCATCCTGCACAGACGGCCACAGAACCTGGCCACTAGAAGGCACTAGAGAGGGAAGGAGGGCAGGCCAACTTCAGAGGACTGGAGCTGACTCCCAGGCTCTCAGCACCCCAGCACAGTGCCCCTCCGTTCTGAGGCCATGCCCTGACATTCAGCCAACTTATCTCCTGCCTTTCCAGCTTTCTCAGGCTCTATCTTACCCCTACTCTGAGACCCAGGATATCTGATGGAGGTTGGAAAAGAAATCTGCTCATATTTAAGAAGCCTCTGTTTATATTACATCAGGAGCATTCAGTACCCTAGGATTTGTGCTCACACACACATATGCATATATATGCACATGTACACACACACACATACACAATGGCTTAGTGAGTGTTTCGTAGTAATGCTAAGTGCCTTACTGTACTAAGCACTTATAAATGTTACTTCATCATTCAATCCTTCAAGGCAAGAGTTATTTCCATTTCATAGATGAGGAATTTGAGGGTCAAAGGTGTTATTTCACTTGCCCAGCAGGTAGAAAGGCCAAGATTTGAACATAAGTCTCTCTGACTCCAGACCATGGGCCTTCCTCCTACACTGTTGCTATGCTGGTGGTCCTGGGTAGGGAGGGACAGGAGCCCCCCGCAGATCCACATGCAGGTGGGAGGGCCATTTGCCCCACACTCAAAGCAGAATGAGACTATATAGTCCAAAGGTTGCTGGGAAGTGGAGTCTGGTCCTCGCCTGAAGGAGAGGGTGGAGAGAGCTTTGGAAACCCTTGGGCCACCCTCTAATGCAGGCATGCAACCTTTCTCTCCCCGCAGCTCCTGAAGATCCGCTCTGAGGACCAGCCCTCCTATGAGGAGCTGACGTTCTCTCAGCATGTGCGCTGCGAGTGCAGGTGGGTCCTGAGGGGCGGCAGGGGCAAGTCCTGCACACTTGGCAGCCTCAACCGAATGGCTGCCCATCCCCGCTGCAGGCTACACTTCCTTCCTGGCTGAGGGAAACCAGGGAAGTCAGGAACCAGTGGCAGCTGCCTTTTGGCCCCACTGTCAGCCAGTTTTGCCTGGGGAGGTGGTCCTGGCAGCTGGAGTGCAGCTGCCAAGAAGCCACAGAGGCAGAGGAAGCCTGGGTCCTCCCAGAGGAGGAGTTTGGGCACACCACCCCCTCCCCAAGGTGGTGGGGGGCAGTTTTCACAGCCCTGGCAGAGGTGTCCAGGGCAAAGACATTGCTGGCCTGGGCTTGGTTCTGGACCAGGGTGGTGACCATGGGAAGGGGCAACTGGGCTGAGGAGCACAAAGAAGGACAAGCCCTGGAAGGAGAAAAGGGGCAGAGGAAGGAGGCAGGGGGATTTCTTTAAGTCTCAAAGCCTCGGACCAGCACCAATCTGCTACCTCTGCCCAGGGCACCCTGAACATTAGTTCCCAGGATGAGCAGGCCTGGCACAGCTACCAAGTTCAGAGAAGAGAGAAATGAGTTGAGGTGCTCTCTGGGGATGGAGGCACAAGACCAGAGGTCCTGAGCCTATCCTGCGGCAGGAAGAAGGGGAGGACCGCCCGTTATCATGCACCTCCTCTGTGCCCAGCCCCACACCCAGCGCTTGAATGTGCTTTCTCATTTAGTCAACAAACATTCATTGAACACCTACTGTATGCCAGGCACTGTCCTAGACGCTTGGGATATAGTGGTAAGGAAGACAGACAAGGTCCTGCTCTTATACAAGTACCTAGGAAGTAGGTACTATTGTCCTGCCCATTCTGCAGATGAAACTGAGACCTGATGCATTTACATGGTTTGCCACAGCTAGTGAGTGAACCCCAGCCTGGCTGGCCTCTATGCCTGCCCTTGTCCTTGCCAGTTCTCATAGCCGTTACCACCCTTTCAGAGCCCTAGTACTGCCCTGGGCTTGGCCCTGCCTTGTGTGCAGGGTTCTGGCTGCCTCTTTTGACCTGAGCCCAGGCTCCGAGCCCTCCCCACTGCTGGGAGTCCTGCCTCAGTCCCTGTCCGTCCTCCCCCTCAGCCAGGGCTCAGACATATGGAACAGCTCAGGAGCGAGCCCCCCAGGCATGGTGCGGGGTGGCTTCTTTCCACCTTTTACGTCACCTTTGCCCCCACGGCCACTCTGTCAGGACAGGCAGACGAGGATCCTGAGGCTCCACGAATGTCTCTGACTTGCCCAAGATGGCAGAGACATGACCGGGCAGTCCCAAGAGGCCCTGGTACCCTGCCCTGGCTCCCAAGGGAGGAAGCCCGCCTAGGGCAGCATTCCCTGGCCTCAGAAGGGCCCCGCGCCCCCACCCTGTTCCCAGGGAAGACTGAGGCCCTGTCCCCTTCCAGCGGGCTGGGCAACAGGGGTACCTTTCTTCTCTCTCTGGGCCAACAGCCACAGCCCCGGAGGCAGATCCAGGACAGGCCTGGTGACTGTGGGGCTTGTGCTCCCCTCCCCTCCCACTGCTCCCTCGCCCACTCCTCCTGCTGTGGCCTGCAGTGGCACATGGCCCCAGGTTGGGGGAGGGGGAAAGCGATGGTGGCTCTTGTGCCCTGACAGGCATCCTTAGCTGGCAGAAACCACCCTCCCATCCAGGGCATTGCCTTCCATTCATGGGCCTTGAAACCCCCAGGATGCACGCTGGAAGGAAGGGTAGGCACAAGGGAGGGAAGTGAACAGAGAAAACCAGCAGAGAGCAGAGTCCCCAGATTTGATGCCAAGAGGAAGAGGGGTGCAGGAGGGCGTGGAGAGGGGCCCCAGGAGGGGACGCAAGCCTCTTTTGGCAGGCTCCCAGGCCAGTATTTCTGCCACTCCTCCGACAGGGCCTTGGGTCCACTAGCTTCCTCTCTCCCTCTCGATGCTATGTCTTGGCTTCACACCTGGAGGCCCAGGCTGGAGTCCAAGCCTGAGTGTGGTTGGGAGAGGGCTAGAGGAGGGAAAGTCCCAATCTGTGAGAGTAAGTAATAAACATAAAATATTTCATATGCACGCTGAACCCAGGCGCCTCTGGCCAGCCCTGCCTCACTGGCTCCATGCTTCCCTCTAGTGGCTTCAGTGCCAACGCAGGACCAGGACTCAGGGTGTCTGATGGGAGATGTTGGGGATGGCTGGGAGCCCCCACCTACCATTTTCCTTATTACCCCCTGGTCCATTCTGTTTTCCAGGCCTCTGCAGGAGAAGATGAAGCCAGAAAGGTAAGTAGCCTGGCTGGGGCTCCGGGCTCTTCGTGGGCCTGCCAGCCCCTGTCCCAGCATGGGGTACCCCCAGCCGCTTCGTCCTGACGCTTCTGGCTTATTGCAGGAGGAGACCCAAGGGCAGGGGGAAGAGGAAGAGAGAGAAGCAGAGACCCACAGACTGCCACCTGTGAGTGTGAGGGGGCTGCCCAGGGATGGCAAGGAGGCTGGGCTGAGGGGATTCCCCGCCCTGCCATCAAGGGTGGAAGGGGAAGAGCAAGGCCCAGGGCAGTCTTGGGGACCAGAACAGGAAGCGAGCACCTCCTAGAGACTCTAGGGCCCAGGAAGCATCAGAGGACCTTGATTCCTGCCCTGGCTCAACCACGAGTCTCTGTGGCCTTGAGCAAATCGTGTCACCTCTCTGAGCTTAGGTTTTCTATGTGTGCAGAATGAGGGGTCAGGGAATCCACCAAGCATCCAGTCATTCTCCAGACATCCACTAAGCATTTCGTGGGTGCCAGGTACCTTGGCAAGCAAACCACTAAGATTCCTGCTCTCACAGAGCTCACATTCTAGTGAAAGAAAGTCCAACAGCTGAAAACTTGTCCAGGGCTACTTCTTCAGGGCCCTGGGGAAGGCTCAACCTCACAGGCTCCCAGGCCAGTATTTCTGCCACTCCTCCGACGGGGCCTTGGGTCCACTAGCTTCCTCTCTCCCTCTTGATGCTATGTCTTGGCTTCACACCTGGAGGCCCAGGCTGGAGTCCAAGCCTGAGTGTGGTTGGGAGAGGGCTAGAGGAGGGAAAGCCCCAGTCTGTGAGAGTAAGTAATAAACATAAACTATTTCATATGCACAGTGATTCAGTCACAACACAATTCTCCTCCAGGGCCTGTCTCTTCCAGGACCACATGAAATCATTGCATGCCATGCAACTGGAGCTGATCCAAACCCTGCCCCAGGAGCTCAACCCTCCAAGAACAGAGACTTCCACCCCACTCTGTGAGGCTGGGGCCTCTAGGGACTTTGGCCCTTGAAGGCATGTGGCCCTTATTGCTCCCCTGTTCCCAAGTATCAACTTGGGGAAGAAGCTGGCAGTATAGTCCATGCAGGGCTCCCCCCAGGTGGCCCCAGATACAAAGTGACCTCTTGCTCCATCTGCCAGGGCAGTGGTTTTCAAACATCTCATTCAGGACTCTCCAGAAAGAATTTCAAAAACCCTTGTGCTCCCTTGCTTATGTTTAAGTTGACATTGAACTTTTTCCTCAAAATTGTAAATAGCTACAAAAGATATAATTTCTGGCATGTTATAAATATTAATTTTTAATATAAAGCCATCATTATAACACTTCAGAAATAGCCTGTGGAATAAGCCATCCTTATTTAATACTCACCATGACCCATATAGTGACAAATATATATATGAACACTTTCCTTTAATAGTTGCATATTTACATTGCTTCTTTTTAACATGAACTTGTATTTTCATTTCACTTCCCCCACAGAATTTCAGCGCAATATACTATTGTTTTAATACTAAACAGCTCTTTATATATCACCTTGTCACATTTATTTGCTATAACAATGGTATATAAATGTGAATTATTTTAAATTTCCTGGGAACATAAAACTCTAAATTAAATTTCCTCCTGGAAAGAACTATCACAATAAGTATTAGTAGTACCAAGTGATCAAAATAGCAGATATATGTAATATTTTAATAAATGTTAAACAAAGAAGTGCAATCAACCTTATTGGGAATGCATCTCAATAAGATGGGCATGGCAGAAAAAAAAGATGGGCATGGCTACCTCTTTTCAATTAGTTAATGAATCCATTAATGAATGGTTCCTCCTGCCAGACTACAGGATTCAAAAATGATTCCATTGTCATATTTGATAGATGAAAAGGTTGAGAAACCATGCTCACCTGGAAGTAAATGAATGGGATCAAAGGTCCCTTTTTGAACTCCTTCCAAGTTATTTGCCAAAAACCTCAAGGTGATCTGCTCACAAAAATTATTTCTCACAATATATAAGCTGACACTCAGGCTGTTCTTCAATTTTGTCAAAAGCCAAGACTTGGAAACCATCTGACTTGCTCAAGGCGAGGTCTCTCAGTCATCCGCCCTATCTCCTCTCTCCACACCTACACCAGTATCTTAACTTGCTCTTTTGCTCACCATCTTCCCCACTATACTCTCTTACCTTGGAGAATAGTACTGTAAGAGCATTTGGAATGGGCAACATGTTTCCGTCCTTTCTGAAGGGAGAAGAGCAGCTGTGAGCAGGCGATGAGGAGGCAGCCGCCAGGCACTTTCTCTCACTGACAGTTTTCAGGTGGAGTCTACATGGAAGCTGGAAACTGATTCCCTGAACACCATCAAAACTCATCAGCCCCTGGGGCAATCTTTGTGTACATCTAGGGTTACCATTTGAAGACTGCTGTCCCAGAGTAACTGGTGGCATTACTGCATGGAGAAAGACTGGGTTCAAAGCTGGCTGTCACTGACTAGCTGTATGACCTTGGGCAAGTTTCTTAACTTCTGTGAGCCTCAGTTTCCTTATTTTCAAAAGGGTGACAACACCAGTGCCCTCCTTGCGAATGTTGTTAGAGGTGAATAAGAGAGTGCATAGCACAGGGCTGAACACCTGGGTAGGTTTTGGTGAAGGGTAGCTCCTTGCTTCCTGGCCTCAGTGCAGGCAGAGACCCACAGGTGCTGAGAGCGCCCCATGCTCCCTGTTCAAGCTTCCCCTTCGGTTGTCCCTCCTCCCACAGGAGGGACCCCGCCCTGAAAGTGTGCTGATGCCCCCTTTCTGTGTCTGGTCTCTGGCAGGTGCGGTGATACTGTTCCCCCGAGGTAACCAGCGTTGGAGGAGCGTGATCCCACACCCTGCTCGTCTATTTATTACCGTCACACTCTCAGTTACCTCCCTGCTGGCACCTGCCCTCTATTTATTAGCCAATGGTATCCCTGCTGAGTGACTCCCTCCCTCTGAGATGAGGAGCGGGGAGGGACAGGACCCTCAGGAATTCAGTGCCTTAAACACAACGTGAGAGAAGGAAGGCAACCGACCACAGACGCGTGGGCTGCAGCTTGGAAGAAGCAAGACATGTGGCTTTGTGGGGGATGATCCAGGCCCCAGAGGCTTGGGGGGTCTCCCCTGGAGAGGCAACAAGAGGGGCACCCACCACCATTACTGGTCCTTGGGCTCCACACGGACAAGCAGCCCTTGCTCTGGGGGCTCCTGGCAGGTTGGAGGTGGAGCAGCCTGTTTTGGCTTCCCTGGCTCCTGCTAGGGGGAAGGCAGGCACGGGGTGGAGGGATCCTGCTGTGTTCCCTTCTTCCTGGCGGCAGCTCTGCACCCTGGACATCAGAGCACTCAGCTCAGGAGAACAGTTGTTGCCCAGGGGCCTTTGCCATTCCTTGTCCCCTACAGTCTGTCCTCACATCTTGCCACTGCTTGTGCTGAGACATTGTTCTTTATTGCCAAGGCACCACCATCCTGCCCCTCTAAGGGACACAGGCAAAGAGTGGATCCCAGGCTGAACGTGGAGCAAGCTGTCCCTGTGTGGCTGTCTGACTGCCAAGCCAGATTCTCTTGAATAAAGTATTCTAGTCTGGAAACCGCTTTTCCAGGAGAGTGTCTGCTGGAGCAGTGGGCGATAGCACAAAATGGAAACAGACAGAAAAGGGGCTGGTGGGCTCCAGGGCTGCCTTGGGGGTAGCTCCAGCCATTCTCGGAGCATCTGGAGTCTCCCCTTCTCAGTTACTTTTGGCAAACCTCTGGGGTCCACACCTCCCATAATGAGGGTTTCACAAGATGTTATCTTGGTCCCAAAGTTGGGTGCCTAGCCCCAGCCACCCCTGAACACCCTCAAATTCAAGAACACAGTCGCCTTCCCCTACCTCCAGGTCTGCCGCACACTCAGGCCAGTGGTTGGCTATCTGGACCTCGAGTGAAGAGGGGCCTCCAGTCTCCTCGGGCCCTCGGCGGAGATGTCCTGGCCCCAGAGGGCTGAACTGCCACACCTCCAGCCTGGTTGGGGTGGCAGGTGCAGGGAGCTGCACGTGCCCAATTCTTCCTCCTTTTACATGCCATCTGCCTCTGACCTGCAAGGTGTATATGCATTTTTATGTTACATGTGTTGCAGGAAGGGGAGCTCCCTATTCTCATGTGAGGCTGCTGAGGATAAACCCATAGGCACTTGGGGGGCAGGCTGGCCAGGAAGCCATGGTCAGTCCAGCGGGGTGGGGCTACGGAGGCAGCTGCCCTTGGCCACCTGTTCACTGAAGCCTGGGCCTCCCTGAGGACACTGGTCAGAATGTGCTTCTGGCAGGTGATCACAGACAGGGTGTGGGTCAGCCCCAGGGGACAGGCTTTGCATAAGAAAGGCACTTTCTCTCCTGCTTCTCTACTCTTAGGCTGTAGCAGTTCTGAGCCATTTCCTCAGCTCAGCCCCAGAGACTCTGGCCCAGCCCCTGTAGCATCTCCAAGACTCTCAGTACCACCGGGTCACCTGGAGGTCAGCCTGTCCATGCAAGCCAGCCACACCTGTAGAGAGCTGGACAGAGACCAGGGTTGCTCCCAGAGGCCAGAAGCAAACACCTGCATCCCTAGCCAGGAGACTCACAGCAGTCCTTTCGGGTCATGTAGGTCCTAGAGGGCCCTTTTCATTTGCTCATCAGGAGAACAGTTGTTGCCCAGGGGCCTTTGTGGAGCAGCCACTGGGTGCCTGACACTGGCCTAGGTACCAAGAGTCCAGTGGGGAATAAAACACAAGGACCTGCTTGCCCAGATCTTATATCTGAGTGGAGACCATAATCATGTGTGGCAGGATATTAGGTGGACTTGTCTGTTGCCCAAATTGGTGACTAGACCCAGAGTTAAGTAAAAAGAGGTCTTGAGTACGTCACACTCTAAAACAAAGAAGAAACTATTTGGGGCTGTACACCTCTGCCTAGAGGATTTATTAAGAGATGGTTGAAGTAATTCTGCGAGGCCCAAACACCACCCAGGCCCCCTTTTTCAGTCTCCGTAAGCAGAAGGGGTGGAGGGAGTGAGGTCACTGGAGACCTGGGCTGCTGAGCCCCCTCTCCTCTACCTGGAGCTGGATTTGCTGTGCCTATCAGCCTGTGTGCTATCGGAGTGAGATCTGCAGGGTGTGGAGAACTGAAGAGTGACAGAGGACAGAGAGGGGACCTCCAGCAGGAGTTTCCCATGGGTCAGGGGACATAGTGGAAGGGGAATGTCCATGAGTCCATGAGCTGCTTGCCCATGTTCCCCAAGAGAGAGGCCTACAGGTAAGGAGCCCCCACGGGCTATAGACTGCGGGTGTAGGGCTGGGATGAGAGCTGAATAGGAGGTGTCAGACGCAGAGCTGGAGAGGGAACACACTGCTGCAGGATGGCCTTGGGGCGTGCCCATGAGAGTTGGCATCTGCATGCCCATCATGCTGGATGCATTCATAGAGAAGAAATAGCCACAGCTGGGTGAGGAGAGAAGGGGCTGTGTCCAGGAGAGAGTATAAGAGCAGACCATGCCCCTCCCCACTCCCTTAGGCCAAATTCAGGGAAAGGGGTTCGTCTTAAATTGGATGGCCCAGCCCAAATGGGTGCCTGGAGGAACATGAGAAGACCTGCCCAAGAAGCTATTGAGAGACAGGAAAAGGAGACTCAACATAGTTCATCTAGCAGCAATGAGAGGAAAAAACTGTGTTGTTTGCACCCCACTGTTTGCTCAGTAAGCCAGTTATGCATGTAAACAAAGAAATTAATAAGAAAATGTCTTATTGCCAAAATGTGATTCTGGCATATTCAAGGTGGCCTTGAATTCTGCGACATTCTTCCCCTTGAGAGGCAAGGTCTCTGTCCCTTCCCTTTGAAACTGAGTTGACCTGTGTCTGCTTTGATCAATAGAGTGTGGCAGAAGGCATCCTATAATGGTCCTAAGTCCTTCCAAGTGGACTGGCAGCTTCTGCCTCCATCTCTCGGAACCCTGAGCTGCCATGTAAGAAGTCCAACTAGCGTGAGGTTACCACGTTGGAGGGAAGCCCAAGTGAGACATATAGAGGTGTCAAAACACAGAGAGAGAGAGGCCTGTCCCTCTGCCAGCCTTCAGCTGCTCCAGCTCCCTGCCATTACAGCTATGTCAGCTGAGGCCCGAGACCCCGTGGAGCAGAGACGAGCACACTCACACTGCCCTGTTTGATTTCCTGAACCAAGGAATTATGAGAACAGTAATGATAAATTGGGGGCAGTTTTTAGGCAGCAGTAGGGCCTGAATGGAAAAGAAGGAAAATAAGGGAAAGTGATGAGATCGTATTTGGGAGAACTCGAGACCAGGAGGTCGTGGAAGGCTGCTCTGCAGAGGTGACATTTCCGGTGGAGCTCGAAGGACAAGAAGTTGGTCGTGAAAATTACAAGTAAGAGCTCTCCAAACAGGACACAGCTGATGCAAAGGCCTAGAAGGAATCCCAGTATGGCTGAAGCTTGATGGGCAAGGGAGGAAAGGACTTAAGATGTGACATCAGAAGTGGGCAGGGGCCAGATCATGGCTTTGCAAGGCAGGGTAAGGAGTTTGAATTTTATTATAAGGTGGAGGGAAGCCATTGGAGGGTTTCAAGCAGGGGGATGAAGTAATATTAGCTACATTTTTAAAAGATTCGCTCTGCCTTCTGTGTGGACAATGGATCGTAGCGGTACAAGACAAGAGGTGTAGAGACCACTCAGAAGGCTGTAGCAAATCCAGGTAGGCAATGATGGTGGCTTGGTCTTAGAAAAAGTACTGGGAATGGAAAGAAGTAGAGTTTAGTCTTAGTTATACATGTGAGCTGGTTACCCCAATTATTCATTTAATCATGGGTATTTTTTGAGTCTACTAGGACCAGCCATTTTGTAGTAAATACATATGAGGGGGTGAAATATATTGACATATGAAACTTGGTTTCCCCACTTAGTAAAGAAAATCCCATTCTGCAAGAAATGAGAATAAGGGGTGTGCACTCAGCTGGATAGGCTGAGCTGATCTACCTGAGAACTAAGAGAGAAGGCAAGTTGGGAGAGGGCAATCAAAGATCTCAGAGATGGATTGAGAATGCTTGGAGTGTTGTAGCCCTTCTGATGATTTCAGACATTTTGAGAAGTGAAGGAAGGGTTTGGGAATGCCACACATCCCTCAAGCTGAAGGCCCTAATGCTCTTTGCGAGAGGCTCACTCAGTGGGACAGGAGGCAGAGGCCAGCCCAGTGGAGTACCCGGAGTAGCTCGGGTTACATACAGAGCAGGTAAGACCTTGTCAAAGGAAGCAGATATGTACAAGGGATTGTAACAGAAGGAAAGAAGGCCGCATAGCTTAAGCAAATGCAGATGGAGTTTTGCAAAAGCAAGCTGAGATACCTGAGATGATTTACACAAGGGGAGAATCAGGGCCACCTTTGCAAAGTTGGTAGCCCTGGGCCTGTGACTTGAAGAACAAGCAAGAGTGAGTGTGGGGAGATGACTGAGGAAGGCCTAGGGGGCAGCAATCCATTAACAAAGGCCCCGATGTGGAAAACCCATAGCAGTGTAGGGATTTTCAAGTGGCTCAGTTTGCCTGATGCTTAAGGTATGTGAAAGAGAAGAGTGATGGATTGGGCTAGAGGGTGGGTGGGCCCTGGATGCTATCCCAGGGAGTTAGGGCTTTGCCAGGCTGTGGGATGCACTGAAACTTTTTAGGCTGGCAGATGACATGATCTTAGAATTTAAGAAAAGAAAATGTATATAATAATCCATTTCCACATCCTCATTTTATGAGTGAAGAAACCGAGGTCCGTGCTTGTCCGAAGCCATGAAAGTCAAAATGAGCCAGAATTTCAAAATTCACCAGTAAGTGGGTGAAATGGAATTGAATCCAGATTTGTCTCCAAAGCCTGTGCTCCCTAACCCTCACTGCATCGTCTCCTCCTCAGACGGGGAACCGCAGAGAGGAGTAAAATTTCATTTGCTTCAAGTCTGAGAAGCAGGCCAGACATCTGTGTGGTGGGTCGGGTAGGTCGACAGATTAGGCCTCTCTACAAACTCTGCTGGGAAATCAAGGCTCCAGACGGGACACGGACAGGATAGAGCCTTAGATGTGGAAAGATGGCTGTCTGCCAGCACCAGAGCCCAGCAGCTGTTTTCCTAGAGAAGGCTGACCCTTCCCTTCCCTGAGGGAAGCCTGGGGCCCTCCCCCTCCCCTGACATTGGCTGTGACTGAGGCGGATGAGAGCCTGGCCCAGGCTAGCTGTTTGGGCCCCACCTCGGAGGCTGTGGGGCTCCAAGCCAAAAAGATGGTGTGTATGGTGTGTGTTCCGAGCCCCTGAGGTAACTTCATTACCATGGAAACCACCAGGCAGAACAGCCAGGCAAGGAGGAGGTTGAGGGCTTCCTCGCAGAGTTGGGCCCATCCCTGTTCCTCTCACTGAGTGATCCTAGGTGATGGGGAGAGGACCCTGCCTCCATACCGGCCTCTCCTGGAGGCACTCTGGACAATCTGTTCTGTCCTCAGTCAGTAAGAGAGACAGTCCCCCGGCCCCCATGCGCTCAGTCTCTGTTTCTCCTCCTCTCTGCTAAGGCCCCTGCCCCCACTCAGCCAGCAGGC